GAGCGATGACCTTCCTGCAAGAAAATAAACTCCAGCTTTCACAAACGAAAAGCCTACAGGTTGCTTTGAGTTTGGAAGATGTCACCAGCGCAGAGGTCAAGAGGATTGGAGGGCTGATGGTGGGATTGCTGCGTAAAGTAAGTCCTGCATGGTAGGCATCCCAGATAGGAGTTCAGACGTGGGAATGGTATGAGAGATGACATTGAGTTGTTGTTCGTCGGTTTCTGTTGCGGTTGCAGTCCGGTGTTAGTGCCAGCAGCACCGGCAGCACAAACCCCATTCGCAGCTCCACCAAAGGCCAACTGATGGCCTGTCTTTAGACCGCTCGTTGGACCTGTAGTACCGGAGTTTGAAAGAGCAGTCAGGACCTCCGAAAGCCAGACTTGAGAGGGATTGCCCACGGGTGGTACTGGGCCGTCGTCCCAGAAGAGATCAAAGTCTCCGACACGCTTCTCTTGCCCAGTCAGTTTTCCTTCCATGTCGACAATACTGACGACATCGTCCAGTAATTTAAGCTGTATTTGGAAGTTTGAAATGAAACAATTCGGGATTAAAGATAGAGCTCAGCAGAGAGCCAGTAGAACTGAGGGCCTTTCATGCATAACGAGGTCTATGACCCATAAGTATTTAACGCAGAAGACACGTCTGAAAATACTCAGACTTTAGTAACCAGATTCTAATATCTACAAAGAACTGCGAATTTTAATATGCCAGCCCAAATTGGTTGCCTACAAATCGATGATGATGAGGATAATTTACTAATTGGTAGTTTTGCTTCTCAATAAACGAAGCGGACTTGCTCTCCACTAGTAACATTGCAACTCAATGAGCATGAATATATTATTATCAGTTTGCTAGTTTTAAATTGATTATCGATGCACATGCAGCCGTGGGTACAGCTGAAAGTGGGGAATTAGTCGCAGCCAACCGGGCATTTAGAAACCAGAAGGTGTACAGTCTAATAATATTGACAAGTTCATTCCAACTAAGTAATTATTTATCATACTCACTGTAAATATATGAGCTAACAGTTGGTATCTGTGCTGCCAGAATGGTAAAATAATTCCGTCGTTAAATACTATCGACTGCGTATTGACATCTTGTGAACATTACACGATTATTCCGCGGTAACTGATGGATTTCTGCTGAAATATTCCTCTCAACTTTCAGATGAAGCATGAAAAGGTATTTTGCGAAGAATTTACCCAAAATTTATGCCATTACTTGAATAGAAATTAAACAAGACAGAAAGTTCGGTTAAAACACGCGTCAGGGTCACCTTTAAACAGGTATTTATACGCACACGAACATCAGTCTCGCACTTTAAATTCGTGCTGGAACTCGAATAGCACGGCGCATAATATGCGACCCCTCGTGGGCCTTCTGGTATAAAATTCAAAGACAGAAAAGGTGGTTTGATTAAGTATAAGCTAAAGTTGTTTGTACTTTGGAAAACCTCTCACACTTTCCAGATTAGGTTTGTGTTTATCACCGGTTAAAGAGAAAACACAATTTTAAATTCCGGGAAAAAATCGTGACCAAACTTTTCGGCATGAAAAAGGAGTTGAACTACTAACCGGTTTAAGAAGAAAATATGGGGAAATTGAGCAGGTACTATTTGTGTATCCTATCCCCTGACAGGAAATGGGAAGAGGACTCATCCGTACTACAGAGAACCTTGCGCGTTATTTCGGCGAGATTACGCTTAGTGCCGTGGGTACGGTTGGAGTTAAGTTTATCTAGGATTTATGCTAGGGTGGGATGCGGAAATATTTGCACTTCCAAGAATGAAGTGTAATGCTTCTTCTAATACGTAGGGTGCGCCTTTTCCCACACTGTGTTTGTGGGGAGACTACATACTAAATTAGGGCCGAAAATTGCCTGATTACTCTAAGCAGCGTCATCACATTATTTCCTAACAGAAACTAATTTACTTCCCTGCAATTTGATGGTGCAAAATACTTTTGTTAATGGAGAATACTTAAAAGGATTAGTAACGCAGTTAAGATCCGCTAATGGCACTATAAATTTTGTAAACAGAACAAGTGAGCCCCCAATTAGACAGTTTACCTTAGCTATTGTCTATTGGGAACCTCATAAAAACGTATGGTATTTTGATTTCAACCACGACCTCAAAGTGAGCACGAATCGTTAAGCAGGTAGTTTGCTTCCTATATAAGTGAATCGGTGCAATACAAGACACCCAAAGCTGCTCCGAAAGTAAGTAGAACTATTCACTAACGTAATTAACCTAAACGATGGGCCATATAAATCATACCGACGTATATAAAACTGAGATAGTGGACGTAGCACAAATTAATTAAAATTACGTAGATATTCAATTAATTCAGATATCTCCGAAAAAATCCCTTCATCGTTTTCAGTATGCGAGACCCCGATCTCACAAAATTATGGAAAATTTCAGCCACAGACCCAACTGTCCTTGGTAAGTCACGTAGTGTTTCCATTATACCAATATCATGGTGTTCGTGGACAACAGTGAGCGGTTCCTGGGGGAGTAAGACTTCTAAACATCCTTTCGAGACACATAATTACATAATGCTATAATAGCGGCGCCAGGAACTGTTCGCCGATTGACACTACCCAGCATTGATTGATTCACGGAATGTAGCCTGATTTTAGTAGGCTCAATATCCCTATATCGTCAAGGCTTCGGTAGGATGGACACAATTCTTAGCGACCAGAATGTACGTAAAATAGCCGAATT